GCTCAAGGTCAGGAGTTCGAAACCTGCCTGAGCAAGAGCGATACCCCGTCTCTACTAAAAACAGGAAGAAATCAATTGGCCAACTAATATATATAGAAAAAATCAGCCAGGCATGGTGGCACATGCCTGTAGTCCCAGCTACTAGAGCGATTGAGGCAGGAGGATCACTTGAACCCAGGAGTCTGAGGTTGCTGTGAGCTAGGCTGACGCCACGGCACTCTAGCCAGGGCAACAGAGTGAGACTGTCTCAAAAAAAAAAAAAAAGAAAAGAAAAGCCAATGTGAGCCAAAGTGCAGGGTGTCTGCAGCCTCTGGGTCCGCCCCATGCAGAGGATCTGGACGGAAGCTCTCGCTCATGCGGATGAGCCCCAAGGACGGTCTGCGAAGCAAACCAAGGCAGTCACAAGAGGGCAGATTCTGTATGGCTCCTCTCGTAGAAGTGTCTGAAGCCATCAAAACCCACAGGAGCGGGAAGTGGAAAGTGGGCGGTGGGGCGGGGGCACTGCAGGGTGAAAGGTTCGCGGATCCGGTGCTGGCCACGTGAACGCCCTCGCCACTCCTGCACAGGCCGAGAAGAATGAAGGTGGTAAATTTGGTGTTCTGTGTTTTTTACCCTAGTAAAATAAAAAAATAAAAATGTATTTCTCAGTGTCTGGCTTCCTTATGAAGTAGAGGCTGGGGCTTTTGGACACCGCGATCGCTCACAACAGGAGTTTCTGTGAGAGAATCTCGTTTTCTGTTTCGTGGCCCGAAGGCGGGCAGCGCGGGAAGGGTCGCTGCGTGTGCCCGGCGCTGGCTCCTCCCTGAGTCCCGGCCGCTCCGGACGCGGTCACCCTGGGCCAGGCACGCCCTGAACTTCCTCTCGGGCTGCCTCTGTGCTTCTGTGGATGTGACAGCTATTCCAGAAGCCTCTTCCTCCGCAGAAAGACTTGGAAATCCTCCTGCCCGGAGGACTGAGGCCCCGGGAAGCCGGTGGCTGCCTGCTGTCCTCTCCTTGCTCCCCGCCCTCCTCGGGGTTCACCTCCGCCGGGCACTGGCAGCTGCGTCCACCTGGCCCAGCATGGACACGCGGGACCCGGCGCGTCTGGGAGGCTCTGAGACCCAGAGAGGCCAGGGGACAGGACCGCGGTACGTGCGCTCGCGTGTGCCCGGGTGTGCTCTGCTGCACGCGTGGGGGTGGCGGCTTTGCCAGGAGAAGGCAGCCCGGCCGGCCGTGGGGAGGCACTGCCTGCGGGTCTGACTGCAGGGGGGGTCGGGAGGGGAAAGGCAGGTGGGAAGGAGGCTTCCCGGGAGCCCCGTGCTGGGGGAGGGTGCCACAGAGCGGCCCGGGGCAGTCACCCGAGGCATGCGGTTCTCCACGTTCCCTTTCACAGTATCTCCCAGCCGTCCACAGCAGGGTTCTGTGAAGTGGGCATCAGCGCTGGGCAGCACTTCACCAAAAGCAGCATTTCTGATTTCCCTGCATGTAAGCCAGCCTGGCCCCCACGCCAGTCCTGCCCTCCTCTGGATGCCTGACCCGCTGGGCAGCCACTGAGGCCCTCCCCGTGCTGGGCTCCCGAGCGGCTCTGACCACCTTTCTGTGAGTGGGACCCCCCACTGGACGTGGGCCCCGTCCTCCGTGGGCTGTTTCCTGGGAAGAGGGCGGAGGCCGCCTGTGGAGTCTTCACTGCATTCTGGGGAGAAAGCGCTTTTTCTCCCAGTTGCTCTGGGGGCTCCAGAGTGGCCTGGGAGATGGATCAGGGGGCCGTGCGGAAGGGGAGGGTGGGGGTGAGTGCGGGTGCCTTTGTCTTCAAATGTACTTTCCATATGCGTAGGAGAAAGTGGTGCAGTTTGGGCCATTGTATGTATGTATTGGGCAAGAGTGTGTGAGCGTGTGTGCCTGTGTGCGTGTGTGTGCATGTGTGTCTGTGTGTGAGCGTGTGTGCCTGTGTGCGTGTGTGCATGTGTGTCTGTGTGTGTGCCTGTGTGCGTGTGTGTGCATGTGTGTCTGTGTGAGTGTGTGTGCCTGTGTGCGAGCATGTGTGCCTGTGTGCGTGTGTGCATGTTTGTGTGTGAGCGTGTGTGCCTGTGTGCGTGTGTGCATGTGTGTCTGTGTGTGAGCGTGTGTGCCTGTGTGCGTATGCGTGTGCCTGGATGTGTGCCTGTGTGTGTGTGCCTGTGTGCGTGTGTGTGCCTGTGTGTGCGTGTGTGAGCGTGTGTGCCTGTGTGTGTGTGCGTGTGTGTGCCTGTGTGCGTGTGTGAGCGTGTGCTTGTGTATATGGGCGTGTGTGCCTGTGTGTATACCTGTCTGTGTGTGTATGTGCCTGTGTGTGCCTGTGTGTGTGGCTGTGCATGTGTGCATGTGTTTGTGTGTGCCTGTATGTGTGTGTGCGTGTGTGTGCATGTGTGTGAGTGCATGTGTGCGCATGTGTGTGAGTGCATGTGTGCGCATGTGTGTGTGCATGTGTGTGTGTGCATGTGTGTGTGTGCATGTGTGTGAGTGCATGTGAGTCCTGATTTAACACTGTGCTGCAGGCAGAAGTCCAGCGAAGACGCGTCAGTTCAGTCACCCTGTGCTGGGGAACCTTACAGAACAAAGCGGCTTCCCTGGGAAATGCGTCTCTTTCGTCTTCAGGCCTGCAGGAGGTCTCTGCTTCCTTCAGCTTGTTTACTCAGTAGTGTCTTCTTTTCTTAAATTAATTTGAAAAAATATCCCACTTCCCTGGCTGAGGACACAAGCCAGCGTCACTTTGTTTTTACTGTTCAAAGTAACACCACTTCAATCTCCCTCTCCACTTCTAAAAGCGAGGGTGAGGAGGTGGGTGGGGCGAGGGTCTTTCCAGGGGTGTGTGCGGGAGAAGCGGCTCGGCTCTTGTTTTAACAGGAGCACTCTGTTGATGGACAATGCATCGCAGGAGGAGGGTGGAGATAGGGGAGCAGTGACAGTGTTTCTGCAGAAGTCCAGGAAAGAGCCGGTGACCAGTTAATCTGGAAAAATCAGGAAAGGCTCGATGTGGAGCCCAAGTGTCTGGGGCTAAACGATGAAGAATGAGCAGGAATTTTGCAGACAGACGGGAGGATGGGCTGCAGGCGGGGGGGGGCATGCTGGGCTGCCCTGGGGACTGAAGCTAAGGTGGCAGCAATGGGGGGCTCCCTGCTTGTGTAAGCACCACAGTGACAGGCTGCACTTTCTCTTCAAGCCCACAGGAACGTTCACAAAAATTTTATTGGGCCCAAAAAGTAAATGTCAACCAATAACACATAGTTTATACAGACATTGTTCTCTGGCTGTGGTGTAACATTTCAAATAACTAAATAAATAAGGGAGCCAATCTCTCAATACATTCTGAAATTTAGTAATTTAATGATGGATCAAAATGAAATCATAATTGAAATGAGAACATATTTAAAACTGGTCAAAAAAAGAGTGCAGGGAAAGGCTCAATACTATAAAGATGTCAGTTTCTCTCAAAGTAAGCTGAAAATTCAATGCAACACCACTCAGAGTTTCAGCAGGGCTTCTAAGGAAAGTGATGGCTGATTTTAAAAGTCCCGTGGAAGATGAATGAGCCTGGAGTAGCCAAGACAATTGTGAACATTAGCAAGGTGTTGGGAGTTGCTGAGTCAGATAACTAAAACTGATTTTAAAGTTATACTAATCAAGTCATATGGGCTTTAGTAAGGAAGACATTGTGGTTCAGGACAGACTAAGAGTGGACAAAACGGAGAACCTAAGGGCAGAGTTGTGGAATTATGGGCACTTGGTGTCCGGCAGAATCACTGGAGGAAGGAGGGACTATTCAGTAAACGGTGCTGGGAAACTTGGCCCTTCCTGTGGACTCATTTAGAAGTGCTCGCTTTTAACTAAATGGCTTAAACTGGTGTTGCTTGTTAAACCTGAATGCTCATGAGCATCGCCTGGATCTTGCTAAGTTACAGGCTCTGATTCCATGGGTCTGGGTGGGCTCTGATGCTGCAGTTCCTACGAGATCTCAAATGTTGTCAATGTTGCTAATCCGTGCATTACATCTCGATTAGCAAGAGTTTAAATCACAGAATATTAAATGTTCCTTTAACAAAGAGGTGGCCTCCGGAATGTTCTGACCGCTCAGCGATATCATCAGGAATAGAAGCGCCTTTTATCCTTCTGCTCTGTTGTAAGTTAGCTTGCTGGTGTTTTGCTTTCATATTTGTTACCTCATTGCCCCTCACGGTATCTGCCACAATTCCAGACATCACACTTCAATTCCATGCGGGAAGGGGGAAAGGATGAAGCAGGAGCTCTCTGTTTGAATCTGCCCCATCACCAAGAAAACAGTACTATGCCCAGAAGCTCCAAGGACTTTCCATTATTAGCTGGGCTGGGTGCTGGTGGTAGCAGCAGCAGGCACTGCAGTAGTGACAATGGGCTGGCTCTTGGGACCCCCGGTGGTGCACGTAGGCATTGCACCAGCGAGCGGGCTGCACAGTCTAGTCCCTGGGCCCCTGGTGGAGCACAGGTGGTGGCGGTGGGCAGGGTAAAGTAAATTATTTTACTACTATTTGTTATCTTTAATTTTGGGAGTAATTCCTAGGAAGAACTTTCTACACACAAAGTTTACATTAGCTCCAGACAATCACATATATATGATAATACATACGATAAAATAAACCCCAAATGCTCATTTATGTTACAAAAACATTACAAATTGATATGATTCTTTGCAGATGGCAGATGGCTTTTTATTCATTCTTTATTTTCTAAGTTACCTTTGAGGAATATATTATTATGATTTAATGAAAAATACAATATACAAGACAATTTATTACCAAATGATAAAGGATATAAGTGAAAAAAATATGTATATATGAAGAAAATACATGCATTTTTTTATTTTGGCATATTATGGGGGTACAGATTTTAAGGTTTCAATAAATGCCCTTCCCCCCCACAAGTCTGAGTTTCCAGCATGACCATCCCCCAGATGGTGCGCATCTCACTCATTATCTAATACATGCATATTTTGACAATGGCTATTTCTGTATGATGGATCCAGAGAAGTTTTTTTTTTTTATTTAAAATTTTCCAAGTGTACAAAATTCTCTAGAATAAACTTCACACTTTACAATCAGAAAAACTTAAAAAACTGAAGAGGGTAGGGTACAGAGTGATCAGGTATAAGATAACCAGGGAAAGGGCACTATGAATTGGCAGTTAAGGGATCTTTGGTCACACTCACTGGAGCAGTTTCTATGGAGTGGCACCAGACTGTCCCCGGCAACCGTCTCCTCCATGGGATTCATAATGTTGTCCTCATTTGCATCACCTTCTCATCTGCTTCTTCCATCTCTGCCCTTTATTTGTTGTTGGTCGGTCTCTTAATACAAGCGGTGAGAAGATAACAGGAACAGACTCGGTGGGAAGAGGAGGGAATCCACCAAGGGCAGAGAGACTAGACAAGGGTGCGAGGTATTATGGAAAATTTTCCAACTTTACCATGGACCCTGGAGGGCTGGCCGTCCAAGGTGGCACTGTGACTCTGAGTGCATGGTCCAGCCACCACACTGTGCTTCTCTGTTAGTTCCACTGGCACATGATGTTCATGAGTCCTGTAAACAAACCAATGTTTTCTAGTTTGTCTCCTGTGATACTATTTTCAAGGTATCATGACTACCATACATTCTATTTGCTTGTATGTTCTACGTGTTTCTACTTTATTGTATTTTATCATGGCAAGTATGTTGCCACTGCTTATTTATTTGCTTAGATCAAGTAGAATTTGCCTCATGAATCTGGGAGCTCCCGTGTTAGGTACATATATATTTAGGATTGTTATGTCTCTTATTGAATTGTTCCCTTTACCATTATATAATGATCATCTTTGTCTTTTTTTTTTATCATTGTTGATTTAAAGTCTACTTTGTGTGATATGAGAATGGCTGCACCTGCTCAGTTTTGGTTTCCATTTACATGGAACATTTTTTTTCCCATCCCTTTACCTGAGTCGGTGCGAGTCCTTGAAAGCTAGATGTGTTTCTTGGGGACAGCATATACTTGCGATGTGTTTTTTCATCCATTCAGCCCGTGTGTGTCTTTTCAGCGGGGTAGTGAGGCTGTTCACGTTCAGTGTTAGTATTGAGATGTGGGATACTGTTCTGTTTATCATGTTGTATGATACCTTGTTGTCTTGCTTTCTCTCTTGTGCTACTGTTTTATAAAAGCTATGAGTTTAACTTTTGGGTGTTTTTTACACTGATGGGTATCTATTGTGCTATTCCATGTATAATGCAGTTCTGAGTATTTCCTGCAGGGCAGGTCTAGTAGTGACAAATTCCCTCAGTGTTTGCTGGTCTAAAAAAGTCTTTATTTTTAATTATTTTTTTTCATTATTATTATTTTTTTTTTTTGAGGCAGAGTCTCGCTTTGTTGCCCAGGCTAGAGTGAGTGCCTTGGCGTCAGCCTAGCTCATAGCAACTTCAAACTCCTGGGCTCAAGCAATCCTGCTGCCTCAGCCTCCCGAGTAGCCGGGACTACAGGCATGTACCACCATGCCTGGCTAATTCTTTCTCTATGTATTAGTTGACCAATTAATTTCTTTCTATTTATAGGAAAGACAGGGTCTCGCTCTTGCTCAGGCTGGTTTTGAACTTCTGACCTTGAGCAATACACCCGCCTCTGCATCCCAGAGTGCTAGGATTACAGGCATGAGGCACCGCACCCGGCCTAAAAAAGTCTTTATTTATCCATCATTTATGAAACTTAGCTTTACAGGATACAAAATTCTTGGCTGACAGTTGTTCTGTTTAAGAAGACTAAAAATAGGGCCCCAATGCTTTCTGGCTTGTAAGGTCTCTGCTGAGAAGCCTGCTGTTTTTAACCATTGCTGTTAATTATGAGATTTACTTCAACTTTGAAACCTGTGTGTTTACCTTGGTTTCTAGCATATCTGACTCCTTATGGCTCCTAATGGTAAAGATATTTTAAAGAACTAGAATGGATCTCTGGGTTTTTTTGGGAGACAAGAGCACAGGAAGATCCTGGGAAACAGGGGTTTTGTTCTAATATAGTTTGAGTCTAGGACTTCCCGGTAGCTCAGATTATTCAGGGACAATTTGGCTCAAAAAGAGAACGTGTTTCTTGCTGTCCTCCTATCCATGCTGTGTGTTGGCTGAACACTGATGTGCTTCTTTCTGTCCCAGCAGAGCCAGCAGGAGCCCGTGTCAGGGGAACATGTTAGAGCAGAGTTTCAGGATGTCCCAACTGCGCCTCCTCCTCCTGGGGAAACGTAACTCAGGAAAAAGTGCCACAGGAAACACCATTCTGGGAAGACCCGCATTCAAGGCCATGTGCAGTGATCAGATGGTGACCAAAGTGTGCCAGAGAGAGCATGGGGACCTGAAAGGGAGGGAGGTTGTGGTCATTGACACCCCTGACCTTTTCTCGAAAGCTTATGCTGAAGACAAGCAACGCAACATCCAGCGCTGCTTGGAGCTCTCTGCTCCCAGCCTCCATGCCCTGCTCCTGGTAATCCGCGTCGGCTATTATACAAAGGAGGATAAGGAAACAGTCACGGGCATCGAAGAGGTGTTTGGATGCGAAGCCAGGAGGCACACCATTATTGTTTTCACTCAGAAGGACGATTTGGAAGATGACTCGCTGCAAGAGTACATTGATAACGACAAGTCTCTCAAGGAGTTGGTTCAAAATTGTGGGGGCCGATACTGCGTTTTCAACAACAAGGCAGGAGAGGACGAGCGGACCGCCCAGGTGTCCGAGCTCCTCTGCAAGATCGAGGATTTAGTGGTTGAGAACCAAGGATCATACTGTGTGAACTTCAAAGTGGAAGGCAGCAGATTCCAGGTAAAAATTCTTGTTAATGTCTCTAAGGATTTCTTTGTTGCTAAAGCTAGTGGGATAAAGATGGACGCAAATACATGAAATATTGCATTGTGTGATGGAACTTGAGTTTCGTTTAAGGAGATATTTATATATAATCTGCAGTAATAGGAGGTACCAGACTGTAGGTTACTTTAGATATCAGCCTAAGGACTTTAGACTTTCTTGGCAAATTAATGGACAAGTTTAAGCCCTTATCTTACCTGGCCCCTCATATTATTGAATACACAAATGATTCTTTAGTCTCTCTCTTGGCCTAGCTTCAACAGAACTACCCTCTTCTTGTTTTGTTTTTCCTGCTTTATTTGTGGCGACTCCAAAGATTGCTGAGTCCTCCTCTAATCTCTGACCTCTAAAAGTTGACATCCTCGGGACTTGGTTCTGGCCCTTCTTCAATTCCTTATACTCTCTTCTCAGATGATCACACATTTTTATGGCACTGAGCTCCATTTACTGCTTGCATTTTCCAAGTTATTAAAAGTAGTAACTGTAGTCTGTCCACAGTCTGTCTCGTGAGCTTGGACTCCTTTATGCCATTGATACTTGGCATCTCCACTTGTCTCTCTTAATTTTTGATCCCTCTTAAATCTATAGGGCTTTTTCCTCTCAACTCAATCAATGGTTACAGTGCTCACCATGCTCTTTATACCTAAGCCCAGATGTCAGCTTTGATACCTGGCTGGCTTGCATCTGAAATCATCAGGGATTGATCCACCTGGAATCCACCTGCTTCCCACCATCTCCTCTCCCACCACCTGGTCCAAGCCAGCATCTTTGCTTGCCTATACTATTTTAACTTACTAATGCCATTCATTCTTGAGCCTTATACCCTAATCCATTTTACACATAATTGCCAGGGTGGTATTTTATTTCATTTTTTAACATGAAAGGAAAATGTAACTAAGGAAAATACAAAAACACAGGCTTTTGCCTTTGAGGAGCTTACACTTGAATTGGAGTGACTTATGCATAGGAAACAGAGCACTCACTGGCTTGGTGTAAGTAGGGGAGGCTGAGACAGAGGATTCTGCAGCTGTAAGCGCCAGAGGATGAAAAGCAGGCAAAAGTGGAGCCTGGGGGAGGTTTTGGCCAGACAAAGAGACTTCGTAGAGGTGGAGAGCAATAAGCCTAAGCAGGATGGAAATAAGAAGAAAATCAACCTGTATTTGGTGCCTGCTAAATTCCAGATACATACACAAGCTAGCGAAGTCTTCATAGCACCTCTACGTACAGATGTTCTACTGCTGAGGAAACTGAGGCTGTGGGAGCCTGTGTTACCCACCCTTTTATCTCTAGGCCTGAGTTCTCTCTCTTTTACCACAATCTGCCTCTCTCTTTAGGGCTGTATGGAGCAGGGATGTCAGCAAAGAGGAGGATGAGTTTTCCACAACAAATCCCTCTTGTTTAAATGCTTTGGTCACTTCCCGCTGATCTTACAGTGAAGTTCAGAACCTGGCTGAAATCTAATTTGGCCTGGCTCCTTACCCTGTACCCTTTCTGTGCCCTGGTGTCACTGGCCTTCCTGTGGGCCTTTGAGACATGCTCACGTCCGTGCCTGAGCCTCAGGCGTGCGATTCTCTGTGCACTGACACTGCTCTCCCCATCCCGCCCCGAGCCAGCTCTGCTTTTATTTATCCACCTGCCTCGGCTGAAGCTCACTCTTCAGGGACACCTCCCCGATTGTCCTGACTCTCAGGACCCTGGAATGAGCCCTCACAGCTCCCCTCCCCGCATAGCACCTGTCAGACCGGTCACCGCCATATCAAGTGATTCCAGGGGCGCCTCCCACGTGCTCCGTGAGAGCAGAGAAGTATCTGCTTTGTTGACCACAGTGTCTTAGTTTTGTCTTCTGTAAGACAGAGATCATAATCACGTGTATCTCAGGAGCTGCTGTGAGGATTAAATGAGATGCTTACAAAGTCGTTAACAAATACTTGGACTTTGGTATTTGCTCAGTAATTATCAGCTGTTATTATCATTTTATGAAAATATATGGGAGTCAAATAAATTATGGAGACATCAAGGACTTTAACAATCCAGAGACTGAGTCAGATCCCTACTTTGAGGACTCTATGCCCTGGAAATAAAAGCATTAATATATATAAAGATATATGGGCAAGAATAGTTATCACAGAAATTTAAAAATAGTAAAACCAGAAATAACCTGGAGATCAATCAATAAAGGGCTGGTTGCATTAGTTATGCATGTCCACACTATGGAACAAATTGTATCTACTAAAAAGAATGATGTAGATTTATCTACAGTGACTTCTGCCAGTGTACAGGATACATTACATACTACAGACACCTAAAAAAGTGTCTTTATATGTTCACGTATGCTTGTATGTATTAGTGTAAATGTAGAAAAACATAGATATGTATCAGTTAAAAACTGTTGCTTTTCTGGTGGATTGGCGATGCAAAGATTATTAATTTTTACGTTATGCACATTTACATTGTAACAATCTTTTGTATTTAAATAACACTAAAGAATTTGAACTGGGCTATGTACGGTGAAATAAATCTGACAATCGGAGCTGAGTGGAGAGGACTCTCAGAGAGGGACGATTGAAAGCATCGAAGACATTGGGCAAGGCCAGGCGAGAAAGCAGAGGGAGGGTTTCCTTGGCTGACATGGAGATTTAACAAAGATGAAGTTAAAGTTAAGTCTAAGAACTTCCTAGGGATAGCAGGTCCATCAAGACTGCGTGTCATGTTTTTCACTTCCTTCCTTGATTCCATGGCAACTTAAATTTTGGGAGTGAGTATAGGATTCACCAGGCAGGACAAAGGGATGTCAGTTATGTGTTTGGCCCTCCATCCTCTTGTTTCTATTGGCCAAAATTACGGGAGAGTTTTCAAATTTTGCTGGACTTCATGTTAGAGGCGGCTTCATCTCTATTGTGAGAGCAGCGAGGGAAGGAGACACCGGCGATGTCGCCTCCTCTGGGAGCCGGCCACAGCAGCATCAGTGGATCTAAGGGTCAGCTGTCATTCTGGACAGGTCCACAAAGGCCACTGTAGACCATGACCAGGGCCTCGATTTGACCACCTTCTAATCAGCAGATTACTCTGAATTATATATTTAAATTTCCATTTTTTTTTAATTTGCAAAAAGATGAGACTTGAAATCTATGCGCATCATTTTTTCCTCTATCTTCTAGGATTGTGTGAATGAAGCTGCATCTCAGGAGGGGGACTATACACATGGTAAGTTGATCCTTTAAAAATATTAAGGTATGCACTCACTGGAAGAAGCTTAAAAAAATAAAAATAAAAATATTAAGGTCATATCTATATTCTTTTTAGTGCATTATGCAGCCAAGTTGAAGTGAACCAATATCCATATAAATCAGAACAAAATGCACCCTGGAGACCTAGTCTAGGTTATTGCCCACAACCAATTCTCCAAGGACCTCCTCACACTCATGAGTGGAGAGGACTCTCAGAGAGGGACGATCGAAATCATCAAAGACATTGGGCAAGGCCAGGCAAGAAAGCAGAGGGAGGGTTTCCTTGGCTGATAATGGAGATTTAAGAAAGATGAAGTTAAAATTAAGTCTAAGAACTTTCTATGAATAGCAGGTTCACTCATGAGTAGGTGCATACCAGCAAAGGTCCTGGACAACAAAGTGTCCCTGGACTTTTCCAAAATGTGACAGAGCTGGGCTTACCTCTTGTGGTTTCTTTCCTCACTCAGCCTCTTCTTTCTGGCCCTGGATCCAGCATTGTCCAGGTTTTGACTCCTGTTAGAAAAGCAGAAATCAGTCCTTCATGGACAATAACAACTTGCAGGATTTGCTGATGGAGCACAGTATCCATGTAACAATGGCTACTAATGGTGTATCTATCCTGCCCATCTGCGCAAGTCAATGCACGTAAATCAACCTCTTTCTGTTCAGTCGATGCAATTTACTTCACAATGTGGATGTACAATACCACTGCAACCATGCCTTTGTTGATGGATTTGCAGGTTATTTCTGGGTCAGCCCTTTGCAAGAACCAAGTATTCAGCGGTGAACAAGAGAGATAAGACAGTTTTTCTCATGGAACTTCCCCCTATTATTAAAATCATAATTTTGATAATAATGATAAATGCAGGTGACATTATGTGCTGGAAAATAACTTATATATATAATTCCATCCTCACAGCATGTAGTATACAACCCTCTTAAAAATATGCAGTTTGGTCCTGGTAACAGCCCTGTGGAGAAGGCATCATCATCGTGATCCTTATTTCACAAATGAGTGCACTCTGCCAGAAACGCGTGGATTCAGGCAGTGGGCTTCAGAATTCTGCCGACGCCCTGGGAACGCGCCGCGGCTGGACGGGATTGGGCCCGTTGGCGCGCGGCAGTGAGAGCCTGGCCCGCCGTGGGGAATCACGGGGCATCTCAGAGAGAGGGGGCTGGGAAGGAGTTTCACAGGACGTGGGCTTGTGTTGGGTGAGCTTGAGGAAGGTTCCAGAAGGTGGGCCTTTGCTCCGGATGGACGCTATCCGGAAGTGGGAGTGCCACGACTAGGTATTTTAATAGTTCCTTCTCGAAGGCGCTGAGGGTGAAGTGAGGCTGGCGCTGTCAGGAAGCAGCTGGCACCCTCTCAGCCGGGACGGGCGTCTGGGCAGTGCTCTGGTGCTTCTCTGAGTTCACACGTGACGGTGCAGTGGCCGTGGTCACAGAGCGCCCCTGTCTGATGTTCTGTGATGCTGGGGGTGAGGAACACAAGGGGCCACGGCCTCGCTGCGGATGTGGGACCAGCTCCCGGCTCCCAGGGGTGCCGTTTCCTTCCTCAGCTCCTCCTTTAACCACTGCGCTACACTGTCTCTCCTGAACTGAAGGGCGAGACGATATTTGAAAGAACGAGTTGTTATTTTGGTAGGAGTCATAAAGGAAGATATATGGCACCCAATTTGTACGGCTCTGGGGGCAGCGATTTAAGGGAAGCTCTCGTGAAGAAGCGATATTTGCACAGGAACCAGAATGACCAGCAGGAGTTAGACGGGATAAGAGAGGAGGAAAGCGCTCGCATATGTGCCAAAGCCCTGAGGTGGTAAAGGGGGGGATGCGAGAGAGAGGAAGGGAGGCTCTGAGGCCTGATTCAAGTCCCTCCGCACCCACAAAGCCATTCGGGACACTAATGCCTTTACAGGTGCCGTTTCCCTTATTCCTGTCAACAGCCCCACGACATCGGCATTGACGTGCCCATCCCACCCATGTGCAAGCTGAGATTCACAAAGTAGAAACTTTTCCCAGGTGACACAACACGGACCTGGTGTCTCTAGCATTTTAGCCATCTCGCTTTGCACTGAATGCCGTGCTCATTCCACCTTCCTGCCCTGCTGCTCACAGGGGGAGTGACATCCCTGCCCACGCGCGCTGTTGCTGCCCCAGCCTCCGTGCATATTCCCTGCAGGTGTTGACCCTACCTTTTGCTCAGTATATGGGTCTGGTGTTGACCTTGGGCCACAGCAGAAGTGGTGGGAGCAGGGGATGTATGGAGGTATAGTTCGTGGGTGCAGTTTTGCAGGTCTTTACAGCAATTTGTTGAGGTATGATTTACATAGAGTAAAACGCACGAATCTTAAGTATACAGCTTGGTGCCTTTTCCCGTATCAACACACATGTGATCACCATCTAGATAAATATCTAGAGCATTTCTATCACCTTAGAAGTTCTTACTGCCCCTCTCCAAAGAGATCCACTGTGCGGACTTCTATCAATACAGATTAATTGTGATTGTTGAACTTTGTGTAATGCAATCAAATAGTACGTAGTTTTTGTATTTGGCTTCTTTCACTTGAGATCCATCCATGTTGCATACCACTCATTTACTCTATTTTAAAAAATTGCTGCATGTATTTGGTTTTAGGAATAAACCACCAAAGGGCATTTAAAAATCAGATCCTCCCTGCTCTAATCTTAGCCCTTGGGTCTCCGGTTGCCCTTGGTAACAGAATGAGGGGTCCCCGGAGGACCGAGACTGATGAGGGCCAAATGTAGCATGTTTCTGCTCCCGGGAAATCTCAAGCTCCTGGCCCGTCTCTTAGTTGACTCATGCCCTCTCTGTGGTGTTTGCCTTGATGGATAGCTCCTGGCTGGGCCTCAGTTCTAGTGGCTCAGGGTGCTGTTGCCATTCTCTCCAAAAATTCACAGGGATGAGAAATAAAACCTGTCCACATTCATATTCAACTGCAGGAAGAGACTCTGAATTTTTCTGTCCCACAGGCCCAGGGGAGAGACAGAGGCAGGCCACAGGACCTGAGCAGAACCCAGGGACATCGGAACTGAGGGTCCTCCTCGTGGGGAAGCGCGGCGCTGGGAAAAGTGCAGCAGGAAACAGCATTCTGGGGAAGCGGGTCTTCGAGACCAAATTCAGCGAGCGGCCCGTAACCCGGAGCTTTAGGTCTGAGAGCAGAATCTGGAGACAGAAGAAAGTTTTGATCATTGATTCTCCAGATATCTCATCTTCCAAGGACGCCGGATCAGCGCTTAGGGAATACACCTGTGCCGGCCCCCACGCCTTCCTGATGGTGACGCCACTGGGCTTGTACAACAAGCAAGATGAGGCGGTGCTGGACACCATCAGAAGCAATTTTGGAGACAAATTCGTTAAGCACATGATCATTCTCCTTACCAGGAAAGAAGATTTAGGGGATGAGGATCTAGATACGTTCTTAAGAAGCGACAATCAAGCTGATCTCTATGGGCTCATCCAGAAATGTCAAAGCAGGTACAGCGCCTTCGACTACCGGGTGACGGGAGACGAGGAGCAGAGGCAGGTGGATGAGCTTCTGCAAAAAATCGAGAACATGGTGCAGCAGAACAGAAACAAGCCTTGCATCTTCAGGGAAAAAGGTAAAGTGAGAAATAGAAAACATTTTCATAGACACTGTTTTAAAAATAGATATACAATATATAAGAACTTTTATTTTCTAAAAGGCATAGAAACGATAGAAAGGACAGGTGCATTCTACCCACTCTTGACTCTTCTCTATCTCCTTTCTTTCTCAGATTGTACTGAAGTTATGAGCTTTCCATGCACAGTATCTTTAATTCGTGACCCTTAACCCATCTCGCCAACTGGATGGCGAGGGTCATGAGGGAAGGAGCTGACCTTTTCCAATCTTGTTTTCCCCCCAGTGTACCGTTGTTGCGCCGGGCTCAGTTCACTGCCTCCCCACTGCTGCAGGAGGACTCCTCTCCCACTTGGTTCCACACGTGGACCTGAGCTGAGACCCTTCCCATTCTTACTCACTCCATTTTCCTCTGCTTCAAACACCCTCAGCCAGGAAGAAAGTCAGCCCCAAACGGACATATGTGTTTATTGAACCCTTTCGTATTCCCCATGGAAGGCCAGATACTTGGGAGCCTCCTAAAGATGTACAGATATGTGGCAAAGTCAGACAGGCTGTGCGGAGAAAGCCCACTTTGAAATGGTCTTTGGAGAGTGGGTAGGGTTCGGATGACTGAGCAGAAAGCTGGAAGACCTTCCAGCGAGCAAGCTAGCAAAGAGGTAGGACTACTGAGCATGCCACTTGTTCGGGGACAAAAAATATGGTCTTGATGGAGGTGGGGGTTCACAGCTCTAGATAATGTGGGAGGGGGAGGGTAGACCAGATTTCAGAGGCACCTGAGAACCAGACCCCCTGTAGGCACAGAAGCAGAGACTGAAATACATGACAAATATGGGGGTTTTGGAAGATGAAGCTACTACTCTTCGTCCTGTAAGCATAATAATGAGGCTGTGGGCTCAGGATAAGCAGTCCAATCATTTCCCCTGGAAGGAAGAGCATGGGATGGGCTTTCCTCCCTCTTTGCTTTGAAGCAGATATTAGTCACTTGGTAAAGAATTCATAATAGAAGAAAACTGTGATGAAGCCTGCATGGGCACTGGACCATCACAGTGCAAGTGCAAAGGCATAAGAAAAACCTTCAAAGAATACATATTGTCCTGTCTCTGTGCATCTGTAAATTCCATTCATAGGGAAATTTATTCTTTTTCACCATTGCTGACACCACACACCACAGTGTTCAGTGAACATTCGTTATTATAACCAGGAAGTGCGTTTGACTCATCAGTGAAAGGCGATTAAATTCAATGTGGATTTAATGAGAAATAAATTTTAGCATGATCTGAGCATGGAAACTGCTAATTC